TTTTTTCTGAGCCATGGTATGTGTTCATAATGATGAATGCCTAGGAATTTGAAATTTCTAGAGTAATTCTGTGTACTTGAGCAAGAGATTGACATTTCTTTGTAAAGATTTGGACCTGTTTTTAGCCCACATTCCTGTCCCCAGGGCCCATGGTGTGAACAAATATGAACTGATCTATACAACACGAAGAAATTGTGTACCATATATACTCACCTATAAGTCGGTCCACCTATAAGTCAGTTGTATTTTTTAAGCTTAAATTAGAGGGATTGACCTGCTAAAATACCAATCTTTTTATAACTCGCATTTTGGACCAAAAACCGACTTATACGTGAGTATATACGGTATAATTAGACAATTTGTAGTTCTTGAGAAAAGATTTTTACAGATTTTTCCTATGCAATTCAATATTAAAAATTAGGCCCATTTTGTGGTCCCATCCTGACCCCAGAGGCAATGGTTTGAACCAACTTCACTACATGAAGAAGCTTTAACATAAATTTTATCATTTCTGGATCTGTAATTCTTTAAATGACCTCACCCCATTTTTACTATATATTAATTATTCTTCTTGGAAAGATGGGTATCAGACAAAAACAAATCTTAAGCATACATAACCTGAGTGATCAAATTTCCAATTATTTTTTTTTTACCTCTTTTCTGCTTGCATTTTAAAACTCGCCAAATTTGTTCCTGAAATATCCAAAGAGGTTAAGTGTGGTAAGTTTTCTACCATGTACTTCACACACTGTTCAGGGTTATTGTGGTAACATGGATTTTCCTCCGTTCCTGATAAGTCTAGATGTCTACAAAAATTGAATTAAAATATCGATGAATTTCATACAAAGAAAGGAAAAAAACATTTTGAATAAGATTTGTAATGATATCATGTAAACATTCTGTTAGGAAAAATGAAACTTTGGAATTTACAGTATTACAAAGAAAGAAAAGAAAAAAATCAAACATTCAAAATCAAATTAAATCTGGATAATTCTCTTTCAAAACTGAAACTACCATAGTTGATGGTTTTGCATAATTTACCTCAATTTTTTGGCTTTGCAAATATTTTTTAAAGCTTCCTGCAAATTTTCAATGCTTATGCAACTTAAGTCAAGGGAGAGTAAATTTTCCAGTTCCTCGAGACAGTCCATAAACTCAAGGTCAATGACACAAGATGATAAATCTAAATATGTCAAATTTTTCAAGGGACACAAAATGGCTGCTAAAACACTGTGTCCACTACTTGGATCATTCTGATCATCACTGTCTTCAAATAAAGCATCTCTTATTACTAATTTCCTAAGGTTTGGACATTTGAAGATGTAATCTAGGCCGAATTTGTTCTCATCCTTGCCATCAAGTTTTGGGGCTAAATCACAGTCCATTAAATCCACTTTACCAATCAGATTCTTTATGAGTTCAAAAGCATCACCAATTATAAGTGATAAAAGTGTTCCCCCGAGTTTATTAATTATCCTTACATGACCCTCATCAAGATTGCAATGGGAGAGGTTTAATTCACGAACAGGATGTCCACATGCAAAATTCAATGAGTCTGCTTCAAGTGAACGCCAAGACAAGTCCACTCTGTTTAATCTTGTAAAAGATGTGTCCTTAAAAATTGACAGCCATGCTAAATCATTTGGGTATTCTTCATACATAGACTGGAATAATTTATCACACAAGCTGGGATGCTGCAAGGAGATGCCTTCCTTCAGTCTGTAGCCACTGTGTAATTTTTCAGCAAAAGAATGAATATTTTTCACAGCTACTTTCATACACAGATCTTCTAAAGATTCAGGATTGTTTTCTGGCCAAGAACAAGGCATCTTTATAGTTTATGTAAACTTTATGTCTGAAAAACAAAACACAAAGCTCAAGTTCCTGTAGATACATCATTATTTATTAGGTTTGTTACTGACTGTCTATGGAAATATATTGGGTAGATCAATCTCATAGATCATGAGATGAACTTGAGTCATTGAGATTGATTAACCCTATTTATTTCTGTAGACAGTCAGTAACAAACCTACATGTAATAAGTGAATTTTCTCAAGGACCATCAAGTGAGAGACATATAGTATACCTCAGAATGTTGATTCCTAATTATCAAAACAGTTAGATGTTTGTCATGTTGCAGGATGCATAATTTTTCACCTGCTGGATATAGAAATATAGCTGACAGTCACATCACTTTTATGCCAATGAGAGTGTGACATTTCAGTCTGAGGGAAAAGAATTCTCTAGTCTTATACATGTCTGACAATTATATTTACATGAAAATGTCCAATTCCATATTGATCAGATTAAGCAAAGCCCACTAGATTAACTCCTAATTTATGGTCAATCCACCTATAACTTTTTGCAATTTACAAGCTATATGTAAATTATAATTACTGCATTTTAAATGGCCCTTTTAAATAAGAACAATGCAATAATTTCAGCAGTGCGGTAAATACTTCTTTGTTTCAAAACAACTTCTGGTATTTTTCATGTAAAAATTCATATGTATCGATATTAGTCTAAATTATATAAGTGCTTTGCATGGGTGACTGCTTTTCAACTGTAATAATTTAAGTAGCAAATGCACCATAATTTCAAATTGTTCAATTCAGACAATTGCCCAATGCGTAACTACGCTGTCTAATTGGTTTACACTCAAATTGATACTTTACAAGTACCTGTATATTACCATGATTACGGGCACTGCGCAATTTTGAAAAATCATTACGCCATGCTTTACAAATTTAAAATAATTTTTTCTGGAGACTAGAGAATATACACTAAATACGCAGTTAACATACGTTATTTAAATTGTAATTTAAGACAAATGTGACAAAAAGACAGGTTCATCTTCGCTGGCTCAGCTCCTTCGCTTCGCCTGATAACCGGAAATTTTTATGAAGAGGATAAATGAAAAAAATGTCTGAGATGGAAATGTTTTTTCCGGTACGAGAGGTAAATTTGTGTAAATAGAGGAATTTCACATTTACGAAAGTTAATTCCCTTTTCGGGGTCAATCTGGGGTCAACCGGCGTAAGACACAGTTTTCCCTATATAACATTACCAACTTTTGGGGGCAATATCTCGCAAATTAAAGCCATATAGGAGCTGTGGCACGCATAGTCTCAGAATTTCTCCAAACTCCCTACGACAAAAGTCATTGATACCTTAAACTCAAATCAGGCAAAAATTGGTTGCTACGCGTCATGGTTTCCATAGCAACACATCCTAAAGTTTGAAAAATGGCATTTTCAACATGTTCAGAGTCTCACAGTTAACGTTTGCGGCAAAGCAAATAAGTTGCATTGACTGTTTCTGAAAGTTGAAGGCCTGATGTCTTAAATGTTTGATAAACATATTTGGTAAACCAACTATTATATACGCTACGATGGAAACCAAGTATTCAAAAGTAATAATTTTGTTCATTTAATTTTTAAAAAGTCATACACTTAAGAATAAAAACAATTATAGGCTGAAATGCAAGCACATAATAGACAAAATTGTCCGATTCCGTTTGAAGGTTGAAAATATTTACAGGTGCGTGACAAAGGATTTAGTGACAAAAATGAGTGTTACGCCGACAACGGGAAATGATGCAATCTGATTTCACAGCAAATTCTATAAATCGGAGGGAAAATTGGATATTACCAGAGACATAAACTCTTTTAAAATAACATAATTATATTTTTAATTGCACTTTCCTGAAGAGAGAGGTTAAGAAGAAAGTTTTTACTTAGAAACAGTATTATTTGCTTCAAGCATCATTGAAAATTAGGGATGTCAACGAATATTCGAACATTCGAATATTCATTCGATGAGTTTATATTCGAATATATGAATTTAAAATTCGAATATTCGATGTTTTTTAGATTACACAAAAAAAAAGAGATAATAAATTTTAATTAGAACAATGCTGGAATCATCCCCGTTTTATTTACTAGCGATCCTTTATTTCTTTCAATACTTTTTATATTATAGATCTTCTAAATTATTTCATTTTGAGTACGGTATAAAAGAAATAAACAAGTACCATTAATGTATAAAACAAAAAGTACTTTCAATAGTTTTATATGATCGGATTAGAATCGAGGGCATTGAAATGAAACCCTTCTTGAATGTCTAAGAGACACGTGAAGAGTGTACTTATAAAAATAAATTTTATTGATCATTGAAGTACATCTTTGATAGAATCAGCCTGTTATATTGTAAAGGGCTCAAATTCAGAATAATGCATCAATTACTTGATTATCTGGGGTTGTTTACATTCCTGAATTTTAAAATCATTATCGGGAAAGTAATGACCTAGGAAAATCGTCTATGGAAGTGTTTGTTTATGTTTTCAAAACATTGTATAAAGATTATATTATATCTCTTATTAAGCAGATAATTGTAATTTATTCCGTGTTTTTAAATCTGAAGAGTAAAGATCAATCTTGCCCCTGGTTAGACGACTGGTTTGTCAGTTTGAGCTTGTACATACAAAAGCGTCGGAAGCAAATTGAAAGGGGGAGGGGCAAACCAACAACTAAAAAAACGTTTGGAGGGCTAAGCTCCAGTTTCCAATATCTATATTATGTCTATCTTTGCAAAACAAAGGGGGAGGGGGCTGACAAATATCAAAGGTAGAATTCCTTATTGTGTACCTACAAAAGTCTGCATTCAGTTTTACTTCCAAATACCAACGCAAAAACCTGCCATTAGAGTATGATGATGTACATTTAAAATAATCCAGATTTTATTTATTTTATCGAATATTCGAATATATTCGAATATTTTCATTGAATATTCGAATATGAATTATTGACAAAATTGACATCCCTATTGAAAATACATAAGAACTAAAACCAAAAAGCTGTGGAATCAAATTTTTTGGAATAAAAGAATATACAATTATACTAAACAGGTATGTAGTATCGTTTCTGAAAGTGTGTGGGCCGGGGGGGGGGGGGGGTGACAACTTACCTAAAAAACTTTGACAAACCAAAAGGGGGGGGGGGCTCTAAAATCCTATTTGATTTAACTGCAGGTTAAATCACAAAATTGCTTCCTTAAAAACTACTTTGATTCTACACACAGATACTCTGAAGTTGATATTAAAAGAATTTTAGAGTTCCTCATTGACAACATTTACGCGGTCTTTGAAGACCAGGTTTCAAGGCCACCAACGCTGAGATTTCTCAGAAAATCTGAGCTTTTCTCACCAAACTGTGCCGCCAAATAAATATTTTCTCAAACTCAGACTTATCTTTTGATTTTTTTCTCAAATCTGAGATTTTTCTCAAACGTGCGTGCCACCAAAGTTTTTTCTGACTCAGCTGAAAAAAAAAATTGAGATTTCTCAGAAAATCTTGAGATTGGTACATAGCAGTCTCAAACAAAATCTCACAGAATTGTTTCATGAAAAAAATGGTCGCAAATGTTGTGACAGTGCACAATTTAATCGATGAATACACGAAATTAACGTGCAAGCACGAAAAGCATATACTTTTTAGAACTGTTGGAATTTCGAAGGACACCTATTGTGCTGCTTTATTAGCCAACCTGTTTTTATATTCCTATGAAACAAAAAATTCATTCAAAAACTTCTGCATTAGTAGAAGAAAACACTTGCTCTGACCTTCAACTTGGCATTTAGATATATCAACGATGTATTATCAATTTACAATGGTTACTTCCATTCATATGTCAATTGGATGTATCCCAGTGAACTTGAAATAAAAGACACCACAGAGTCTGCCACATCTGTTTCATATTTGGATGTTTTACTGACTATAGACGATAAGGATCAACTAACAACTAAATTGTATGACAAGCTAAATGACTTAAGTTTTTCCATCGTCAATTTTCCTTATTCATGTAGTAATATCCTGCTATCACTTGCATCTCCCAGCTTATTTGATACTCAAGAACGTGGTCTGAGTACGATTAAGTTTTAAACTGAGGCTGGCTACTGGCAGATAAGTTAATGATATACAGATTTCAACAACCTCATTTTAAGTCAGCATTTCATAAATTCTATGGTCATTATAATGACCTTAGCTTGTTAGCAAACATAACCTATCACTGGGTCGTATTTTAGCTGACTTGTTTCATACCAACTGTTAGGCCTTTGTTTTTACATGTATACTGAATTTGACTACAGAATGTTCCATTTACCTTACGAATACATAGGGCTCACGGTGGGTGTGACAGTCAACGGGATGCTTTCTCCTCTTAGGCACCTGATCCCACCTATGGAATTTCTGTCCAGGGGTTTATGTTTTATGCCCTCTTCACCGATTTGCATTGTTTATAGATTTTTTGAGATTGATCACTGTTCGTTATCTTCACCTTTTTCATTTTTACTTAACTATATAAAACTAAATCTAGGATACCATGTTTTTATAAAAAAAATTTAATTCCTATAACTACTGTACCTGCAGTTTATTCCCATTTACTCTTTTCATGTCAAATTACTCTTTGCAAAGAAAATGAAATCATAAATTGCATAAATAATTTATTTTAGGTAAAACAAAATATGAAGGCAGAATGACAGATGATTGTTTTCTGGAGTGTGTGAAATTTCATAAACATTACAACATATATTGTAAACTGACTTAGACAAATATGTGTAATTCATATTGTCCCAGAGAAAGGAAAGAATGGATTAAAATAAAATTGAAACAAAATTAAGAATTGTAAAATCTTTAGGAATGATAAACAACATTATCATAAATCCATCCAAAATTCTTCAACAATTATAGTGTCATGATTTATTCTTATCACAATGGTTTCTCCCTCTTTCTCTCTTAGATCCAATCATCTTATTTAAATGATGTACAGTTAAACTATCTTCATATACATTTGTATAAGTTAATATAGCTCTGATTGGGTGTTATATGAAAAGTCTGGCACAAGACATCATACATTCCTCCTGTCGGTTAGAACTCGGATGATGGTGCCTGACCCTCCAACTGCATACACCTGTAATGGGGAGAATTTTATTTAGCTGAAGTAATAAAAGCATCCCTTCCACAAAAATTATATACAATTACGGCAAAGTCTCACATCAAATATTCTGGTAGTGTACATCCTTGGATGCAACCTTTATGGAAGTTTGGTCTGGATATAATTTATTAAACCCCCCCCCCCCCCCTTAAAAATGTGGATCAGATGCAGAATACAAAGCAGGTCTGGTAGTGAGCATCCCTAGATGCATCATCCAATGAAGACTTTTACTTACTTAGAAATCAACCTGCTTCGTTAACTTTGATAGGTTCAATCATCCAGGAAATGCTGGTAGATACAGCATCCAAAGCAAGTCTGGCAGCATGCATACCTAGATGCATCGTTTATGCAAGTCTGGTCACCATAATGGTTACAGTTACTTTGGAATGAACCTGCCCAAAAACTTAAATCAATCATCAAAAAAATGTAGGACAGATCCAATATTCTAAATACCACTGGTAGTGTGCATCCATTGATGCATCATCCATTCGATTTTGGTCACCATATGGCTTATAGTTAATTTAGAATAAACATGCTTCAAAAACTTTAATGTGACCAATGATCCAGAAAATATAGGTCACTTCCAATATCTGAAGAAACTCTGCTAGTGTTCATCCATATATGCATCATACAATAAATACAAGTTTAGTCCAGGCACAGCTTACAGTTACTTGGTTCTGAAACTATAGCCATCATGCAGACACCAAAGGTAATTTTAGGTATAGCATAGGCTGATTGTGGTGAGCAAAAATGTATACCATCCTACATGACAATGCAAAGGCAGCAATTATTAAGGAAAAGAAATGCAATGTCTCATCACAGTCATCGTCGCAAGCCACGGGTTTTGTGTCCATTCTATTTCCACAAACGGAAATAGAATGGACACAAAACCCGTGGCTTGCGACAATGCATCACAGTTTACTAAACCAGATTATTGAAGTTCTCATTATGATGTCATCCCATAGAACTGACTTTGGCTCTCTTTTTTGTTTGATATCTGCAGTTTCCAAATTGCACATTTCAACAAATAATACAAGTAAGCTGACATTATTAAATCTAAGAAAGCATCCAAGGCATCCAAAAATAATTTCATCATCGATGGTACACCAGGTACAGGTACTCTCTATGAGAAGGCCTTCATTAAATAAAAAAATAAGAAAAAATTTAAATACCTTCTCATGCCATGTTAGAAGTGCAGCACTGCTTCCTTCTGATGGAAATTCAAATCCTCTATAAATATATTTCATGAGAATGTCCAATGATTTACTGTCAAGGGCATTTACACCCTTCTCAATTTCACTGGTTTTAAATGCAGTCAGAACTCGAACAACCAGCTGCACTACCTTGTCCTTAAAATAAAATACATTTTTCAAATTATAAGTTACTTCGCATATTAAATGATTTAGAATCAAATATAATAACACTTTCCAACTTTTTCACCTATTGTTTAAGCTTAATGTATTACACCTAAATCTGTTTAAACACAGGAAATATGTAATGAATTTATCAAGGTATGTAACTTCAATTTAGTTAATAAATGTAAAAGATAATGAATTCAAACAGTTTAACTTAACATTCAACACACATTTTATAATTATTGTATTTTGCAAAAAAAAAAAGTATTTTTAGAAATTTAAATTTCCAATGATTTTAGCCTTTGATCTATAAAAGAAGCACATATACAGAAAACCTTGAAAATACAAAACCCTTTGACTTACAGATTAATGCTGAAAAGTCATTTTACCTACCTTCATTCTTTTGTCTTTGCAACCCTGCAGAGGATTCTGTAAGACAGCTTTCAGTGCTTCAACATTTTTGGCTTATATGTGTTTAAGAAAATGAGGTCAGCACTTGTGGGTACAAGACAATAATGAACATTTTTTCTCAAAAAATTATATATACATCAATTGATTAGTTAGAATAATCTGCGTCTTGAGACAAGCCCTCTCCACAGTTAGAATATGTTCCATATACCGATATAGTTGCAATGTAGCAAATCTGTACACATTCATACTTTCAGAGACATCATAGGCACTCCCCATCTAATGACGAAACAAGTATACATAGGTCTACTCCTATATACTATAAATTTGTAAAGAGGGGTAGACCTATGTAGACTTAGGCCAAAATAAAAAATACCTTTGTTTCCCCTAACGCGACCGACCCAATTAAATCCCGCCGACTGAAAAGTTTTTTTTAAGAAGATTATTCCAATATTTTTTTAAATGTTTATCAACTTACATAAAATACAATTTCATGAAAACCCGTTCTTATCAGAAAATCAGAATATATTTTCAAAGCTGCTGTCAGGAAAAAAAAATTATTTACCTACCTACCTACCCAACTTCAGATTTTAGGGTCGGGTTAGGGGAAACAAAGATATTTTTAATGATGGCCTTATCATTTCCTCATTTACAAATACAGATGGGGAGAGCCTATGGGAGACATGAGTTTGCAGAATGATTTCAAATTATGTCATCAAAATTCTTTGAGAAAAATCAAAATACTGTACTTGTGTTTATTACACAAACCAAACTTTTTTTTCTGAAAAAATGATAACTAACATGCAACATGCTGATATGACTCAAGGAAGAAAAAAACGCAACACTCATACACAAGGATACATTGATTTAAATAGTTTACAACTTCGTTTTCATTGGGACCAACTTCACCGACATCTGTGTCTTCGTTATCTTGAAAGTTTTCTTCGTCATACTCGTCGACATTTACCTTCCTAAACTTGCTAGCACCAGTATTTTTTGACATTGTTACAAGAGTTAGATATTTTTCTCTTCTGCAATACACCCCGGAAGTCCTTTTCTTTCCGGCTTACCACTTTCGTAAATATACGTATGTATTTGATAAGTCGTTCAATGAATCATTCTCTATCCAGAGTTGTCTTCTGCGATACGCTCCCAACACTGAAGCAATTTCAACCAAACTTGCACAGAGGATCCTTGGATAAAAGGGTTTCAAGTTTGTTCAAATGAAAGGTCACACCCTCTTTCAAGGGGAGATAATTAGTGAAAATTTGGTGGCATCTTTTACAAATTTATCTTCTCAAGAACCACTGGGACTAAAAGATGAATCTTATGTGAAACCTTTATATTACATGGTGTAGATTCAAATTTATACAAATCTTGACCCCCGGGGTGGGTGGGGCCATAATGGATGTGAAAGTTTTACATAGGAATATAAAGGGAAAAAAATAACAAATCTTCTTCTCAAGAACAGCAAAGCCATGATTAGTCATATTAATAAAGAAGCATCCTTTGGTAATGTAGATTCAGGTTTGTTCAAATCATGACCCCCGGGGGTAGGGTGGGGCCATAATAAGGGATCAAAGTTTTACATAAGAATATATTGGAAAAAAATCTGCTAATGAAGAAGAACATGTCCATATTGACTAAGGTGTTGTGGTCCATGTCAATTATAATACGCAAGTTTCGAGATTGTAGCTCTCCAACGATAGAGGCGCAAATAGTATCCATATCAGCATGGGAGTGGGACAGGTTGTTAATGTACACAAACGTGCATAAATAAATGAACGATGACTAGGGCTCTTAAAATTCATTAACTGTTATAGATAGATTATAAGGTCAAACAGCGATGATTTTGATGATTTTATTGAGCTCTACTATAAAAGTTTGACAAATTTACTTTCAATTAGGATACTTGAAAACTAAAGAACCGTCATAGTTTTTAACAGATTACTTTGTTTAATAGACGCTTCCTTCATTGTACTAACCTTTTTTCTAAAAAGTAAGTGGACTAATCGAAATTATTAAAATGGAAAGAGTCGGAGTGTCATTTAGAATTCTGACCTGCAATGATCAGATGCAAGTGTATTTATCGGCTGTTTATTAGAGATCCATCTCTCTTCTTCGTCTGATAAGCCTTATCCACTGATATTTTCTTTTGTTCCGATTTTATGGTAGAAAGAAATTGACTTTACTTAAATTAGATAATTTTTGAGTTGATGAGTGCATCCCGACAAACAGTTATAATAGACTGGCATATCCGTGATGTAACGTTATAAATAACTGTCCCACCTGCCGGTTTACGGGGAAACAAAACTCCCCTCCGTAACGAAAGAGCGCACTAAGGGAGATAATCTCGAAACTTGCGTATTGACTGCCGTCATGAGAAAAGGGCCCTTATCTTTTGACGTCACAATGCACAGAAAACGACGTCAAAGTCGCGGTATTATAATTTTAGTCGACTGCGTTTTGTAAACAAGAAATAAATTGGATTTCCAGGTGTTACAAGAAAAACATTAAATCATTTGAAATTTGATGCGGACATTTTTAATAGATAATATAATTACACACTAGTACATGCATTTATTAATTATTCTGTTTAGGTATTTAATTGATATCACATAATTATGCTAAGTGCGACATTGAACTCATTGAACATTAATTACGACGATGCATGGCTTAAGTTTTCTGAGCAATTTGCAAATGTTTAAATTTGACTCATATTAAGTAGACTAAGTCTTAATATTAAATGGTATTCTGCATACACGCATATTTTTTTTTCAGAGAGAGGGGGAGAGCAATGCACGTACATGTATACACTTCTTAATTCTAAAAAACACCTAATATAAAATGTACTTAGCCATTTTAATTGATCCATAGTTAATAATATCGATATGCGCAGTTAGACCAGCTCAGGGTGAAGCGTCGATATCCAAATGTGTTTGAGGGGAGGGGAGGGGATGGGGGCGCAGATCATTGAAAAGCAAAAAAAAAAAAATTAATTTAACCGCTTTTGATTAAGTGTGATTTACAGAAAAAAGTAAGCAGTTTACAAAACAATTAAATTTTTATGTACAGAATAAACGTTCATAATACAATCCTTTGACATCGTTATGTGCTTCTGTTATGTTTCTACTCCATATCTAAGACAGGCGAAGAAATTGAATTGTATAAACAATGGAAACTTAATTATTTAATCATTTTTTTTTAAGAATTAAGAAAAAGCTAAATAAAAAATCCCCTTGGAAGTAGTGAACAGATTTTTGCTTTTATTTTTATTTTTTAATTAATTATGATTTTTTTTAATGAAACTTAAAAAAAAGAAAAAAAAGTTTACACATCATGGCGTATCTGAATTTATTTCCCGTTAGAATTTTTTGATGATACAGAAAATACATGAGGTGTTATTATCCCTTCGTAACAAAGTTATAGGGGATAAAGTAACGTGCGTGTATATGTGGGTGAGTGAATGCGTGCTTATATCCGAAAATATTTTTTTTATATCGGGATCGATGTGCTCTTTCGCGAGGAGCCCTTCTGGGACATCTATATAGATTTTTACATAATATTTTAATATTATAAGTGCTTTATATCTTTTATGAATTGAGCTAAAGTAGGAATTTAAAAAAAAACAACCTTATGATGTGGAATTCAACAAGTATTAATTTTTCGACTGAATAAAAACCGTTCCTATATCCTGTCTAGAACCCCACCTCATCCTTTACGAAATTACTAGACTTGAAAATATAGTATGCGACTTCCCTCATGAATAATTACATACTTGTTGCTTGGAAGAAAAAAGAATTCTCAAGTTTAAGATTCAAAATGATTAAGGTTATTTAAAAAGTGTAGTTTTTAAAAGAATGTTTGGAAACTGAATTTGACGCACGCGACGTCATTACATTTTCAGTAAGTAACATCAACGTTGTTTTGAAGCGGCCTTACTAAAATGCTCATAAAATACTGATAAAGTGAGATATTTTTAAAAAATGATGTATATTTCCATTCAGAAAGAGTCAGGCTATCAAAAGTTAACAAAAAGTCAGTTTGTGAAATTTTGACCTTAAGGGCCCTTTTCTCATGACGGCAGAGTTTTGCCTGAACCTCCATTTTTCCGCTCGAAACATCAGCAGTGTTTTTTTTTTTTTTCATCTTATCAAAATATAGATTTCTTCACTGTCTTTGTTGTCTTACGACTGTTGTGGTTGATGTTTTTTGAAAGTTTTCTTAACATTTGAATTTGACACCCATAACCACATATTGCTAGTTCTTATTCCCCTATCAGTGAATTATTCTCAAAAGATGTCGCCATATCAAAATTTATTATTAATCCATTAAACTGCAATTTTTTTTAGAGAGAGCTGTTTAATTATGATAATCCTCAACATATATGCGTAATCTAGTAATAAATAATGATGATTTTACTTACAACACAATAGTTATAAAGTATTTAAAGATATTTTCAGTTGAGTTAAAGAGATAAACGAATAATTTACACCGATGTCATAATTAATTTTTGCGAGCAATAATTTCACATTATTGAGCTCAACAGTTGAATGGATGGGCGGAGGGATTTTTCGTTCAAGTAGTTTTTACCACCTCCCTTCTCAATCTTCTGGTTTTCTTGAATAATACGAATTTCATCGTTTGATGTATTCAAAATGATTTTTAAGGACATAAGCAACGTACATGTAGTTTGAACTTCATTGTCTTTTGCCCCTGAGTTGAAGAGTTCCGATACTTAACAGCCTGCTTAATGAACTGTGTGCTACACATTTTTAATGTCTATTTTAATGTCTATATATGTTGTTGTACATCCATGTACACTTCTTCTAAAACAAGTTTGGATAAAAAAAAACATCTAGAATATATGTTTAGTAATTTTTGGTTTACTTTTCTTTGAATTATACAATAATTTTCATCAATTGACATCTTTTCAAAACCCCTGGTAATGCATGCTGAATTTTTGTCTACAAACATCTGATGGCACTATAATCTTAAATTAAGAATATCTTGAAAAATTATCAGTAGGTAAGGTACGTTGCGTATGTCCTTAAAAAATCCTTTAAGCAATATCGGTCGGGTTCATATTAATTTATATCCTTTCCGATGCTTTGGGAATGTGGTATAGAAAGCGCCCTCTATCGCCGCCATAATATTTATCAACATGGTAAAAACTTAACCCTGTTCAAAATCTACCATCATCTTAGCCGACAAATGATATTCTTAACCGTAATCACTTTAATTTGGAAAAATAAACACTTCACTTTTAGAAAATATTTCAAGTTTTCTTTTGAGAATGTTATGTGGAGTAAAATTACCTGATTAAATGTAGAGGTGTCTGCATTTGAAAATGACGGCTGAAACCATTTGAGAGAAAATGTCACTCATTAGGATTAAAGAGTAATGTTGGGAGAAAAATCCGTATTTAACATAAAATAGTTACATTGCAGGGGTATTTTTTTTCTGTTGTCTTAACTCTGCAAACGGGACTAGTTTCGTTTATTTACTAAACCGAATTTCCTCGACTGGATCGAGAGCACGATATGTATAATTACTGCAGTCGAGAGTGTTTATTGCAAACAAAAATCAAATAATAATAATAAGCATTCGACAAGTTCTTTTAAATACCAACAAACATTAGACCTATTTACAAAATTAAGTGTTATTATTCACTTTTTATCTTCTTCAGGCAAAAGTTAAGGCAAAGGATCTCCGAGGCAAGAAAAAGGAGGAACTAACAAAGCAGTTGGATGAACTGAAAAATGTAAGATAGCGCACAGCATAAAAATACTTTTTAAAAAATTGTACTTGAATCTCACTGTCTTGATAAAATCTGTTGTCAGCAGAAAAGATGGCAGAAGAGAATTTTATCCAGTAATTTGTTTTGCATTCAGTGTTTAAACATTACTCATTTTTACAACTCAAATTGTACAGCCTCATGCCAATTCCTATAGAGCCTGCTGCTGATGTGTTATTTCCTTGTACTGAGGTTATTTCATCATTTTTTTTTCTTCAGGATAATTAATTGTAGAAAAATCT